TGCACATACTGCCCACTGTCATACCCTCTGCACTCCTCTCTTGCACATACTGCCCACTGTCATACCCACTTCACTCCTCTCTTACACATACTGCCCACTGTTATACCTTCTGCATTCCTCTCCTGCAAATACTGCCCACTGTTATACCTTCTGCATTCCTCTCCTGCAAATACTGCCCACTGTCATACCCTCTGCACTCCTCTCTTGCACATACTGCCCACTGTCATACCCGCTTCACTCCTCTCTTACACATACTGCCCACTGTCATACCCGCTTCACTCCTCTCTTGCACATACTGCCCACTATCATACACTCTGCATTCCTCTCCTGCACATACTGCCCACTATCATACACTCTGCATCCTTCTCCTGCACATACTGCCCGCTGTCATACCCTCTGCACTCCTCTCTTGCACATACTGCCCACTGTCATACCCTCTGCACTCCTCTCTTGCACATACTGCCCACTGTCATACCCACTTCACTCCTCTCTTACACATACTGCCCACTGTTATACCTTCTGCATTCCTCTCCTGCAAATACTGCCCACTGTCATACCCTCTGCACTCCTCTCTTGCAAATACTGCCCACTGTCATACCTTCTGCATTCCTCTCCTGCAAATACTGCCCACTGTCATACCCTCTGCACTCCTCTCTTGCACATACTGCCCACTGTCATACCCGCTTCACTCCTCTCTTACACATACTTCCCACTGTCATACCTTCTGCATTCCTCTCCTGCAAATACTGCCCACTTTCATACCCGTTTCACTCCTCTCTTAAGACTGTCCTTAACACCCTCTCTGCACTCTTCTCCTGCATATACTGCCTGCTAAGGCAATTCTTTAGCATTGTATGTTATATCGCTAACCTTTCACGTTCTGAAAAAGACACAGCTTTGCTAATTTCCATTAAAGACAAACTCCGGGCAGATATAAAAGGCACAAATTAACGCAGCTCTGTATTCATTAACAGATTATTTAATTTATTATTGAAAAACTTGAATTTGACTCGGAGATCAGCCTCTGGTAGTCCCTGTACAGCAGAGCTTAGAGAGAGGGAGGGAGAAGTAGCACAAGAAACCAACCAGGTGTGCTACAGTGAAAGGGGCATGCTGAAAGAAGAAAAGAACTGAGTGATACAGAAATGAGCTTACCAGCATGCTGCTTTTCTTTCACTGTCCACACACAGGATAGGGAGGAAACCGGCAAGTGGCAGAAAAGATCAGGTCCTCTTCCCTGCAAGACAGGGCTGTACTGTGTGGCAAAGCCGTGTCTCAGGACTGGATGGACAAAAATACAGGCCTGGCAGGTAAAACAGCTCTCATATACTGTATGTATTTCATCTGTGCATTTAGCTGTTTGCCTGGAAGTAATGGTTTAACAAGGCGGTAAATCAAGCATTGTGCAAAGTGAGCCCATAGCAACCCATCAGATTTCAGTATATTGGAGGCAAACATGTGAAAGATGAAATCCTTGATGACCAAGTCCATCCCAATTGAATAGAAATACACACATAGGTTTTTGGTCTCCAGGAATACCCCTCCCCCTTTTTTTCGAAAGATGAAATCCTACTGACTCTGTGTCTACTGCAGTTGCTTTAATGAACACAGCAGAAGCATTTACGCTGTCAGACTGCTAATGCTAATGGAGGTTTGACCCACTGGCCACGTTCTCTATGGCTATAAAGTTTTAATGGCCATCTGAGACCATGGTGTCCTAGATACCTTCAGTGTGCTGAAGAGATGAGCTGCCCTGGTCTTCAATGGCCCCAAATACCAATATCTGTTAAAGGAATGAGAGCAGACAGTGATTAACAAAGAGGGAATAATTACAGACGCCCCCACACTGTACAGCGCTGTACGTCACCAACAAAGTACAGAAAATAGGTTATTCAAGTCAAAAGGACTATTTTCTGCAAAACTCTACTGCGGTTTCTTTCAACCTTTATAAAACATTAACAGAGTTATTCACAAAAGGGTGAAGAGTTTGGAGAAGGCAGGAGAGTGAACAATCTACGACAACATAGGAAAGTGGGCTGAATTGGAGAATTTTTCCAAATCTGCTATGTTGTCCTAGATCAGGGGTAGCCAAACTGCGGCCCTCCAGCTGTGATGAAACTACAACTCCCATTAGGTATTGCAAGACACTGACAGCCACAGGCATGGCCTTCTGAGGCAGATGCATGATAGTATTTGTAGTTTCCCCACAGCTGGAGGGCCGCAGTTTGGCTACCCCTGTCCTAGATTGTTCACTTCTCCTGCCTTCTCTAAACCCTTCACCCTTTAGTGAATATTCCTGTGAATGTTTTGCCAGCATTTACAAAGTATTTAACAATATGCTTAAACTTTAAAAAAGGTCTGCATTGTTTATGAATGGTCACCAGAAGGATGGTGGCATCTTGTTTCAGGTATCATCCAGGGTCACTATCTACCTCCCGGCCAAGCTGCAAACAATCCAGGAGGCCACATCAGAGGAGGCAAGTATGGACCTGCGGGGTGGTGGTGGCACAGCTGAATGTATTGTAGAGGCTAGGGATGGCAGCTGTGGGATTTTTTTAAACAATGATGAACTTGTACTTTAAATGTATTAATAGCACATACATTTCTTTTTTTTTGAGGCAGCGATCCTTTAATTTTGCTTTTGAACAACTGCAGTTTATTCATTTTGGTCATGTGACAATTTGTGTATATGCATGCAGTTTTATCATTTTGGTCATGTGACAATTTGTGTACATGTATGCCGGTTAATCATTTTGGTCATGTGACAATTTGTGTACATGTATGCAGGTACATTCGGTGGACTTAATTAACTTACTTTGTTGATTTCACTGCTGCATCTCGATAGCTTCCCCATCGCAGGCCGGTCAGTGCAAACACTGGCTGCTCCTGTTCTCCCTGAAGACAGAAAGTCATGTCAGAATTGACAGCGAGAGCTGCTAGCCAAGACAAGAACACTTTTCACTCCGCTCAGTGAGTGATGGTCCATGAATCCAGGCACCGCAATGATTAGTGTATTCAGTCACCGCACATTTATTATACCTAATGAGATGTGATTGTTTTCTCTGGACTTTTCTTACTCACCTTCCTTCAGATCAATACAACTACTATTATATATATTGGATTAGAATTAGAAGTGGGTAAAAGGCTGAGCTGGATGGATAAACACAATTATTTAACTTAATTTACTGCTACGGAAAAGCTAAGTGGCCTCAAACATCTCCTTACAAGCTTGCTTAAGCTTTTCAGAAATGCAAGGATCATGGACAGAATCCCAGATTTGACCTGCAATGCCCCGGACTGGTAAAGTCTGGTATTGTAGTGTGACCATCTGTTATTGTGGGTTGTAAAGAGACTGTTCAAAGTGACAGTCACTCCTGAAAGCCCTCCCCCTAACCCACCTATGTTTACCTTCCCCACTGCTGCGATCCTTCACCGGACACTCTGCTTTAGGGCCTACACACACTGACCACAGTGTTCAGTCCTTTCAATTTACCACTTAGTCTCTGCCTTGCATCCCAAAGGTCACATGCTGCCCCATACTGAAAAGCACTGGTATTTCCCGATTATTTTAATGGAGCAAACTAGGTCAGGGGGTGGGATTTCAAGAGACCATGAATAGACAAAGATAGAAACCATTTAAGAAAAACGAATGTTTAACAATGGCTGTGTTGCAGTCCATCAGCCATTATATACACAGACAGGACACCAGTCCCCTTATGGCTTACAAAGAGGGCTTATACCAAGGTGCCTGCACCTGTTAGATCTCAAATAGCTCATTTGTTGCGCTAGGTCAGTGACTACCAAAAATACCTCAAATTAGGGCAATCAGTGAACTCAATCAATCATAGAAACATATCCGTATGATCAGATATTAAAACCTTGATAGTGTTAGTGAGCCTAGCTTCTATTGTCACTGTTTATAAGTACTGTACTAAATATTAATAATAATAAAGTTGTGGAAGATGGTCAAAGGTCACTACACTTTTTGTTTCTGTTGATTAATGTGACCCTGTCAAGCAAAAAAAAGAAAAAAAGAAAAAGTATCTTGCAAAACAAAGAGTTCTAGCACTCATCTCCCTGGTGGCCTATGTCCTACCGTCAGTCTCTCCAGCATTTAATACCAAATGTCAATATTTGATTTCAAATGCCTGTAAAATATTGCTGCAAGCTGTGGTTCCTTGCTCCAACCCCTATGTCACTACAGGTCTCAGCAGTTAAGAAGGACGTCCGAGCACCCACTTGAAGCAGGTCAAATGCAGTTCAGAAGTTGGTCAACTGCAAACCGAAAGCTCCTGTTGAGTTGCTAAACAGGTGTGTTCATTCTCAAATGCACAAAGCAAAGTCCAGGGTCTGTTTTTGACCAACCCTGGCATTGTCACACTAAAGGCAGGTGCCTAAGCAAATAAATATCTCGCAAGGTTTCAGCATTTGCTGGTAGTGTTGAAGCCGGCCTGCCCCCTCCAACACACTCCTATTGGTCAGTTAGGCAGATGATCATAGTGATGGGCAAAAGGAGTATATGGGAGTCAGGAAACACCTATAGATGCCTGTACTTTATACCTTTCACCAGCTTTTTTTTTCTTGGTAAAGTAACAAAATTGCCTCTAGTTATAATGTGATATCATTTACTGATAGTGTTTTTAATTAACATAATGTAGAGTCCTCTTTAACAGCTTTATCTGAAGTTCTTCATCTAATCATTCATCACCGGGCACAGCGAGTATTTCAGTTTCTCTGCTGACTACTTACTTTTATTTGTAGCACATCAAGAGGAATGGTCTCCCCCTTCAGAATGGCAAGAGTGGCTTCTGAGATGTTTCTGAAAGATAAACGTATAAAAAGCAGGAAAGATTTCCTCATGTACTTGAATTTTCATGTTATTCTGCAATGTTCAGAATGAATACATCGGCAAATGACAAAGTGGACATTGTGCCTGTATAGTGCACTGACAATATAATGACTTCTAGAAGAGAAATGAGTTCTCCAGAGATAAACCCCAACAAACAGACATTGATGGTGAAATTCCTCTTATAAATAACCCCTCACAAACCAAAATACCTGCCTCTCTTAGAAGCTATCAACAAGCTGCAAGAACTGCAAACTAGCTTCTGGGATGTAAAGCCACTCTTAGAACTGGTATGCAGTCCATGAATTAAAGAATGGCCATTGTAATGGAGGGAAACTCAATCAGGTACACCATATGGTCCAAAGTATGTGGACATCCCTCCAAATGAATGAATTCAGGTGTTTCTGGTGAATGGAACTGTTATCTCTACAGCATACAAAGACATTTTAGACAAATGTGCACCTCTAACCTTGTGGCAACAGTTTGAGGAAGACCCTTTGCTGCTCCAGCATGAATCTGCCCCTGTGTTCAAAGCCAACTCCATAAAGACATGATTCGATGAGACTGGTTTGAAGGAACTCGAGTAGTCTGCACAAATCCCTGACCTTGTCAACCCTACTGAACACCTTTAGGATGAAATGGAACACAGATTGTGAGCCAGATGTTCTCATCCAACATCCATAGCTGACCTCACAAATGCTCTTTTTGTGTCTGTAGGCACAAATTCCCACAGACACACTCCAAAATCTTGTGAAAAGCCTTCCCAAGGGAGTCCCTAGGACAGGAAGGGAGGGGAAATTTTCCCAATGGAAATGCAGACAGAGGTTTTAACCCTTCCCTACTCCACCCAATAAATCTAAGAACAAAAAAAATTGTTACATAGTATTTGAGGTTGAATAAAGACATTAGTCCATCAAGTCCAACCTATTAGGATCTCATTCTAGGAGTACCCGTACCCCTGTATATTACGGTCCCTTAAGAAATCGTCCAAAAGTTTCTTGAACAATTCCACATTATTTGCTGAAATCACCGCCTGTGGCAGTGAGTTCCAGACCCTAACTGATCTTACTGTGAAGAACCCCCTTCGCCCCTTGTGCTGGAATTTTTTTTCCATCAATTTTAGGTGATGGCCTCTAGTTTTTGTAACGGAGTTAATTTTAAACAGTTTATCGCTAATGTTGCTACCACCATTGAACATTTTGTACATGGAGATCATATCCCCCCTTAATCTCCTCACCTCCAATGTGAACATGTTTAAATTTAGTAGCCTAATTTAGTTTTCTTTTAGAAAAGCACAGGACTTCTATATGGTTGGCAGGTAAGACTTTTACGTTTACTTTTCAATGGATTTATATTACTGTTCATTCAGGCATAAGACGTACAAGGGCAGAGCCATGCGGAAGAAACCTTCACTGTTGGGTAATAGATTGGTGTCATGTCCACCTCCAGCCAGCTCACAGAACAATGAAAGAGCAGCAGCAGATTGATAAGGTCATTCCTCTACTCCTACTATCAGTTTGTTCCTTGTGAGCACATATGCATGCAGCACACCTGACCAGCTCCCAGTCCTACCTCTCCCTCCCCAGTATAGGGAATTGCAGCTACCATGGGTCATATTCAGATGCATTTCATAAAAATATAATTTTGAAATCCCTAACAAAAAAATCCTATCTGCTATCCACACCGCTGCCCATCTCACTCATAAAAATCAGGTACCTCAATGGAGCAGAGAACATCGTGACTGGAGGACAAGAGGACAGCAGGCAACCATACCACTGCTTTTTACTCGAGCCCCTTAATAATGTATTATTGAATACAGAGTTGCATTGATCTGTGTGTGTTTTTTTTTTTTTAGAGTTCAGCTTTAAATCAATTATGTGCCTGACAGGTTCTCTTTAAGCTAAAAGGAAGTAAACATAATGACAGATTTTTTAAATAGGATTACAAGACAGAGAGCAAGCTGAGTGCTGGAAAATATTGCTTTCCTTTAAATCACTTGATTTTAATGATCACTTTGATAATTTCCTAAAACGCAAATGTGATCAGAAACTCTTTTACAACTTGTAATTTATCCATCTTCTGCCATTTATGAAATCCTAATTGTCCCTTAAAATCCATGTTTCCCACTTAATGTCAACATATCCACTGTCCACATAGTCCATTTTGCTCCACGGCGTATACACAATTATTGCTGATTAGCGGGAAGTTTGTATATAACCCCCTTTGAGCAAGAAACAGCCAGCAGCGGGGTACCCACACAAATAACAAAATAACAAGCAATATTCTCGGAGCTCTGTGAAACAGTTTAGATGTTTACTCCTCGGCCTTGATTTTAATGACACAGAACCATGTAATTTTAGGAACACAACAAACGAGATCTCCCAAACATCTTTCAAGCCTGCTGCTATGTCTTTTCTAGATAATAACTGTCTTCTCCAGCGTCAGCACCTCTAATTCTGGGAAAAGACGGATGTCAATTAAGGTCGGCGGTAAAGGTTCCCTTTATAACAGGGAAATGTCCTAGACAATTATTTGGACGGTGGAACAAGACGGGGCTGTGCGTCTCTATAGGTCAAACAAGGAGAAGCAGACAGGGTCCAATTAAAACTTTACAAGCACACCGTGATATGACAAATCTTTAAAGGCTATGTCATCCAAGCTTGTAGCTATTATTGCTGGCGCGTACAAGCAACGCACCTTTAAGACATATTTATGAGCAATAAAATCCAAGAAGTTCATTCCCCTCTCTTTCTCTCAGCCAGTATTTGGTTGCAGAGATTGCGTATTACAAGGGTACGGAAAAGAAAGCATAAACTGGTCAACAATGCTGGTAAAGAGGGGAACAGATGATGTTAATTTCTCCGGAATAAGTGGAATTATTTCACTTGGAAGTGTCTCTTTTTTTTTTTTAAACGTATGTGGTGGGAAAATTCTGACGCTCAAAAATATGATGGAGGTTAGATGTGTAGGCGTAATCTGAACGTTCAAAGGCAATTCTTTCCGATGCCTGTCACAAAAGGGGAGGATGAGGAGGAGAAAGTGCAGCCAGATGACCCTCACAGGTTATCTCGGAAGAACAATACCAATTAGAAAAGCTTTTTAAACATTACTGATTGCAATCCAAGAATATTTGGTAGGGGAAGGAGGTATCTAGTGCCATTATTGACCTGAGATTGTCTTTTGACTGGATTCGATGATGATCAGCTTACCTTAGATATGAGGTTTATGAAAAAAATATATAATGATGCACTATATGGCCAAATTTCTGTGTACATCTGACCACCACACCCACCTATGCATCCAATTTCAAAACCACAGGGATTCATATGGAGTTATGGGGAGTGATTTGCCTTTGTGTGCTTGCGTATTTGTGGACACACACACAACTTACTAGCAAACACAAGGGTTGCTCCACTGGACCCTGCAAGGGAAATCACCCACCCTAAAACAGGGTATCGGGGCCAGTGCTCAGGGGATCAGCTGATGCTGCCTGAAACTACAACTTTTAAACATCAAGGAGCAGCATCCATTGTAAGTGATTTCACCAGCATTTGAAATACCTTAAAAAAACATTTTAACTTTAATATCACTTTAATAGTACTTTATGTTTTGCAGTTTTCACAACAAAAATAGGACTTGCAATTCTACTTACTGAACTTTGTTTTCGGTTTGGGGGTACAAGGTTTGGCTCAATGTGTTGGTCATGCCGAGTGGGATGAAACCAATAGGAATCTTACTGAAGGAGGCCTATAAAAGACAAACACACACAAAAAACCCCAGCACATGATCAGTGTATGGTATTAGTGTATATTATAGTGCAGGGGTGCCCACAATTTTTGTGTTAAGATCTACTTTTCAAATGACGAGCTACATGAGATTTACCAACGAAAAAAAAACCTCCATTGCCCTCTCTCTCGGCTGTCTCTCCTCTCTCTCCTTTGTCTCTCCTCGCTCTCTCTCTCCTGGCTGTCTCTCCTGGCTGTCTCTCCTCGATCTCTCTCCTGGCTGTCTCTCCTCCCTCTCTCTCTCCTGGCTGTCTCTCCTTGCTCTCTCTCTCCTGGCTGTCTCTTCTTGCTCTCTCTCTCCTGGCTGTCTTTCCTAGCTCTCTCTCCTGGCTGTCTCTCCTCCCTCTCTCTCCTGGCTGTCTCTCCTCGCTCTCTCTCCTGGCTGTCTCTCCTCGCTCTCTCTCCTGGCTGTCTCTCCTCGCTCTCTCTCCTGGCTGTCTCTCCTCCCTCTCTCTCCTGGCTGTCTCTCCTCGCTCTCTCTCCTGGCTGTCTCTCCTGGCTGTCTCTCCTCTCTCTCCTTTCTGTCTCTCCTCGCTCTCTCTCTCTCCTGGCTGTCTCTCCTCTCTCTCCTTTCTGTCTTTCCTTGCTCTCTCTCTCCTGGCTGTCATTCCTCGTTTTCTCTCCTGGCTGTCTCCCTTTGCTCTCTTGGCTGTCTCTCCTAGCTCTCTCCCCTGGCTGTCTCTCCGCTCTCTCTTTCCTGGCTGTCTCTCCTTGCTCTCTCCCCTGGCTGTCTTTCCTCTCACTCCCGTCTGTCTCTTCTTGCTCTCTCTCCTGGCTCAGCTTGCTGTATTTTGCAAACAGTGCAGTGCAACAGGCTGTGTAAACTAATATTCTTTGATGTAATACATAGCACTTCAACCACCAGTATCCACCAGAAAAGTGTCAGGAAGCTTGGCTCAGCAGACTCCGGATAATAGGTAATCATGTGTGTCCAACAAAATAAATATACAAAAATTGAATAAAGGGGCCACCATTCACACCCTACGTGATCTACCAGGATCAGCTTCGTGAGCTACTGGTAGATCACGATCTACCTAATGGGCACCCTTGTTATAGTGTTTATACATAGGTATACATGTCATGGAAAAGGAGATCCAACAATGGAGACCATAGGAGATCATACTGGACCTGATTTATGGACAAAACCCCTACAAATAAAAAAAAGTGGGTGACTGACAGCATGTAGAAACACACTGATGGATGATTTTTGGAAATTCAGCTTTGGTGAGATCATGCCACCTCAGTTCTTGGCCCCTTCAATATGCCTGGTTCACTACAACAAGGTCTTGCCCTACCCATAGGATATATTTTATTTACATTCTAAACAATGCAACAGGAGGAGCGGGAGTGGAGGGAAAGGCAGAGACAGGTACATTGGTGGAGACATCTCGCCACTGAAGCCTGCAGGCAGTTGGTCGGCATTTATCCATACTAAAATATCAATAAATTCTGTACAAAATTATTAGAACACCCTGAGTGGGCAAAGTGACAAAGTCTCTTTAAAAACTTTTCAGATTAGTAGCCCCACTGCAAGGGTTAATAAAAAAAGTTTCCTGGAGATTCCTGGAGTTCTTTAAAAAAAAAAAAACCCAACAAACTTTGGATTATGTTTATATGGTGAGATACTGGGCCAATTTACAGACTGAGCATGTTGGCAACTACAAGCCCCTATTGAGTGCGCCAGCCGGCTGCACAGGATACACTCTGGGGTGATAAAAAGAGCCACACAGCATATAGGCCGTTCTGAACAAGTTTCAGTTTAATGTTTGTGTACCTTATACCTTTAAAACCCCTCAGGAATCTACAGAAAGAGCACAGAAGAAATAATGAGCACTCAGCTCTGACAATGACAGATCTTATTAAAAAAAAAAAAAAAGTTTGGGAATATGATTATTTAAGCTGCGTCTAGTTGTAAAGGGATTCTGCTGACTCAGCGGGGAGCACAGGCGACAGCATCATGGTACATTCCCAGAATGCCTTGCTGGAGACGATTACCTGATCAGCCCTGCGGAGGAGTCCTGTAATAACCTGCAATACACAATACAGAGTGCGTTACGTCCTGCTTACCACACTGAACCGCAGAACAATGGGTAACCCACACAGCGCGATATGCCACTGAAACAGCAGCCATGTTACAGCTTAAACAATGTATTTTGCGATCTGCATCTCCTCAAGTCTAAGCGGGAAGGATGTCATAACAAGTTTGCATTCACCAAACAGACTGTAAAATTGTTGGTTAATTACAAAGACTGTAGCGGGGGAAACGACTGCGATTGCATTGCTGGCTTTGTAATGTAATTTCATTTCGGCGTCACACTGTGTGTGACGGACAGAAGACTATGAATGTGAGAGTCCCCTTGCTTAGCTCACATAAATACAAACTCACTGATTTTGGCAGTTAGAACTTCCAGACAACAAAGGATGGCTGATGCCATCCAGAATACAATTTTGCCAAGCAAAACATTAAGCATTTAAAATGCTAACTTGCAGTGTTTTTCTTTTCCAAAAAGTGTTTGCATGTGCCTTTGAACGTGCTAGAAAATATGACTACTCCAGGAAGAGTCAATTCCCGAGCACAGCCCCCTTGCACATTATAGCCTTCTCCTCTTCTGGGACTGTTTAATGACTCTCTTTGCTGGCCCAGCTCCTCCACCCCTCTCCACTCCATAACCTTTTATGATGGGGGAAAAGCAAAGGGGAATACTATAGGCTGTCACCTGAGTGACAGCTCTAAATTTGCTGGGGCTGCTGACACACCTTTGAACTACAAATGATAATTCTAGATGAGATAATGGACTAAATGTGGATCTCAGCTTTCCAAACCACTTTCAGACAGTTTCATGACCATGATCACTTCTATGACCCACCACCACTCCTGATTCCAATGCCCACTTCGCTACTCCTTCTCTGGCTCACTTACTCACCCTGTGTTTTTTCCTTCTAACATTTTGATTTCCAAGTACTGCTTGGAACTAGAAGGGGGGCACTCCACCCAGAGCTTGTCCTGAAAAATTACCTATTAGTGCGAATAAAAAAGAATCACGGACAGTACTCATCTGTTTTGAGAGAATTTAGGAGCCAGCAGCTTTTTTAGGTGCCAACTCCCCTGACAACTAGAGAAACCGTCAAAATGTAGTCCCACCGTGCAACGCACCTACCATGTGTTAACAGTGAGGGAGGTGAATTGTGTTGACATTAATTTGAATGGTACCCCAAACGCACCTCCCACCCACTATGCCCAAACGCACCACCCACACCACAACACACGGTACTGCAATATTGTGCATTGCAATTGGAAAAAATAGTGCATGCACAATTTTTTTGTTCAATCACAATCCACCCCAATGCACGGGACTTGGTGGGAAAGTGCCCTAATGTGCATTGGCTGCCTGGGCTCCAGTCCGGCAAAAACAATAATTAAAAGAAACCTGTACTGGGCTGCCATTGTTAAACTTTCTTTTTAAAAATGCTGACTTCCTGGCTGTTTTATTGACTTGACAGTATTAAAGCAGAATTCCATCTTTAACGTGTATCTAAACGTGCAATATTCAAACTGTAGGTGATATCTTATCTGCAGCTAACCAGCCCTTAGATTTCGTCGACGTTGTTCTTTATTTTCATCATGGTGACCCTTCCAGTAACACTTCCTGTTCCTGTCCTAGAATGCTCACTCACTTTACTTTATCTATAGAGGAGCAGTGTTGTCACCCTAGGCTTCTCTCCAGATTTGGACTACAAACCCCTCTCCCTGCTCTGAAGTCAATCACATAGGAAGGGGGTGCTTTCTAGTTTACTAAAGATAGTTGGCAGATTTGAGATTTTAGCTCAGTGGAGAAAATGTTACAAGGAAACTTGAATTTTGGCTCAACAGGTATTTTTCTGTATTTGCAGAAAATGATCTTGGCCTCTAAAAAGAAACCTCATGCAACCACCACACCCAAACCTAGTAAGCGCAAATATATCACATTTTTGTACTTGCCTTAAAGTGATATTAAACCCTCGTGTTTTTTTTTTTTAAATCTACAGAAGAGATCAACTTGTACTCATGTAGCTCTTTAAAAAAAAAAAAATACTGCCCATTTAATTTATTATTTCACTGAATGTACCCTCCCCTCCTGTTTATGGGTGTTTCCTTTGCCTAGCAGGTTGCAAAGGAGACACCCGTGCATATGCGCTCCCAGATGGAAACTGAGCCATGCTGTGTGCATCCACTGACACACACAGCAATAGGCAAGCCACGCCCCTGTTCCAGCGTCCGCCCTCCTCTCAGTATCTTGACAGGCAGGTGCAGCACCCTATCGCTGCCCTGCCCTTAGTGGCCTTGGAATCGCTCCTCTCAGCCCGGAACTTCGAGGAAACATCGGGAGCTGGCGGCAATGAACGTGGAGTACAGGTAAATGTTTGGGGGTGGGGGGCATGGAAAGGTAGCAGGGTGCTTTTACCTTAATGCAGAGAATGCATTAAGGTACAAAAAGAAATAGCCTTTAATATTACTTTAAGATATTCTTTAAACTCTTCACGACCCCCATTGTAAATCAACTTGCCTCGGCAAGTTCCTTGTGCCAAGAGGCATCAGACATCTGGAAACCCTGCATGATCGATCTGTCAATAGTGATGACAGATCATGTGATCAAAAGAAAGTTTGTGCCCTCTGTGACACTGTGAGGTCTGTGACAGGCAATGTAAAGTGTCAAAAACAAAATCCCTTTTTCAAATCATCCGTAAATTACATCTATTGAGATCAAACTAATGGAAAATGCCTAATATCTTGAAAATGAATATTGACATACCGTACTCCTTGACCATACAGTGCTGACATATGTATCACAACCTACACATATTTAGCATCCCTGTATTTAGAATAATAATTTAGTAAACATATTATATTATGATTAAAAACAAATAGTGTTTATTTAAACATTATTTTGGTGTATTTTTATAAAACAAATACAAAATGTGTTCTTAAAAAATTGTGTGAAAATGATTTTGGTATGCAAAGCACATAAAAAGCCATTGTAAAGTAAACCAGCGCATTCAAAATCTTCTAAAACTGGTCTGGTCACAAAGGTTTGATTACTGTGGCACTGGAAAGAGTTAGATAAGAAGAGAAGGGACGACAGGATTCTACCATATGAAATCACACTCACTTCTTGCAGAGTTCCGTCTCCACCAGCAACAATGATCAGATCTGTGTTTTCCATTAGTTCCAGGAGTTTCTTGGCTTGGCCTTCATAGTCTGACTGAAGGATGGAAAAAAAGGCTCATTATTCTACTTACTTTAATCCAGACTCCAGTTAAAACTTTTTATTTTGGTTTTCGATAGGGAGGGAGAAGATGAGAACCCGTATCAGGTGTTTATCACTGTGGCCCATTTGACCACACCCTGATATAAAGGGGTTTTCACCAGAACAATAAGTAGGCAAAATCTCCCTTATGGTAACACCATGAACAGGAAATGAGGGGAAATCTTCACAGTCAGTGGACAAACAACATCAACCTGAGCCCCAACTATATCCAAAACTTAAAGTAGGTATAAACCTTAACTGGATGACATTTCATTTGGTAAAGCATGTGCATCATAAACAACCATGTTTTTATTTTAGAAAAATAGGTTATGGTAACCTCTTTCAAGTCTGTCCCACTTGTTTAGTTTCACTCCAGACCTCTACAATCCAAAATTCTTCAGAAATCATTGATGGAACCAGCATATCGTTTAGAGTCCCTGACTAGTTATTATGGGAACAAGATCAATTCGGTCTCTGGACAGACCAACTAGTCTGTCAATGAGGCCCAGGTTGTCCCTGGCCTGGTGGTTTAGGAATCTGCCTCTGCAGTCGGGGAAGTCCAGCCTTCTCATCTTTTGGAGGGTCCCCACTATAAACGAGCTGGACAGGAGACCTGGGTACCCTGTCGGTGCATGGGACTCGAACTCCCAAGTTTCAGAATTTTCTTCTGTGGAAGAAACACTCTTCCCATGTCTTTCCATGTCCAGAGCCCCTTGCATTGCCTCAGCACTTGCCCTGTCTCTTGTTAACTTACTTAGTAAGTAGGCCTGTCGGGAAGAGCATCAAGAGCTAACACAATTACTTAGATGGCTGGGCACCTTTATTTCCCGTTCCTGACGGTTTTGTTGCAGAAGAAGTTAATGCTGTGGGACTAAGAGCTGATGTCATCTGTTGGATGGAGTTGTGCACGTGCTCCACATTCTCTTCACCATACAGTGAGAAGAAAGCATCTCTCCACTGCTGCTCCTGCTTTCAAAGGCCATGCAAAACCCTGATCTCCATTCTCTTCCTGCTAGCCCACCTACAGTTACCTTGGTCAACACTGGTCACCCGACCTTCACCTGCTACCAACTGTCCGTGTTTTGTAAGCGCTCTTGGCAACTGCTATTTCTGGTAGATTAAAAGCCAGCATTTGAAAAAATACAATCTAGCCAACAGGCCCTGTCCCCCTTTTCCATTTTAAGTCAGAGAAATATGAGGCAGACTAGAGCCATTAGTGCCTTAGTGGTGAGACAAGTTGTTTTACATGCTGGTTTGTGAGTGTGCCATGATGCCTTTCTACTGTTCTACTGTTTAAAGCCCATTTCGTGTGCACCTTACTGTATAACTGGTAACAAATTGTTGAGTGCGTTTGTCGTTTGTTTTGCTTTACCGATTTGGTGCAGCGACGCATGGGGTTTCTCAGCTGCCAATGGGATGTGCGGGATCCCTTGTGTGTTTCTGTACCTTTAAGGAGGTGGGGCGTCCTCCTGACAGGCCTGCACCCAATTTGATATCTTCTGCCCCATGTGCTCCAAGATGGAGACTCTCATAGTTTAGAGTTAGGACTGCACTATAAGAGGTGCCTTGGCGCGGCAGTGCGGCTTACACATCCTCTGCAGAAGACGTGTATCCAAACCTCTGTCATTGTCCTTAGTGGTGAGACAAGTTGTTTTACATGCTAGTTTGTGAGTGTGCCATGATGCCTTTCTACTGTTAGACTAGAGCCATTGTCTTCACGCTTACACTGTGTCTTCAGCGAGTCTTTCTGAACGCTGTCACCGCTATTTTTACATCATAATCAAGAATCTGCTGGCTGAAAATAGCTTGACGGCAATTAACGGGCGCCGTGATAATTACTGCTCCTTGCTCTGACCTGTCACAGCATTTCAAGAAGACGATGCAATGATGACATGCAAGGACACCTGTATACTGCAATGAACGAGAGCCTGGAAACAAACTCAGTAGCTCAATAGTGATCATTTGAAAACCACCCTTTCTGACGAGTGTTCCCAGTGCTCCATAACTCTTGGTGAGAGCAAGGGGTGATAGTTTCACACTCACCCATCTGCTAAACAAAAAAAATGGGTGCGTCATGGGGGTGCAGTGAAACATGAAACAATGGACAAATATGAATGTTTAAAATGCTTCATTATTTTACCTATGCAGAGCAAAATGAAACTTTGCTCCCCCCATCCACAGCAGCAATACTTACCTTTCCTTCATCCCTCCTGCTGTCCTGTTCAGCTGCTGGGGCATAGAAAAGAAAGCCCTGTGTCAAATCCAAGCTGCCTGGCATTTACACCAGCGTAAGTACTCCTTCCACACCACCATGTATAAAGGTGCCCATACACTGCTCGATTCTCATTCGAGAATCGCGGGAAATCCCACAATCGTACGAGAATCGAGCAGTGTGAACGAAGACGTGCAACCGTTTCTACTGTACGGTCGCACGTCTTTTGTCTAAGGAGCACGCTAGAAAACCAGCCAAAAATCGTATAATTTTCGGCTGGTTTGAGCGGTGCTCGGGACAAATGCCGAACGGGCCGGTGTGCGCATGCGCACACTGCCCGTTCAGCATTGCGGTCATCGGAAACCCGCCCCTCAGGGGGGCGGGCTTGCGATGATCTTGAGTACAATCTGCCTGTCCAAGATGGGCAGATCGTACGTTTTTTAAATTACTTTACAACCATCGCAAGCCCTTGCGATGGTTGTAAAGTGTATGGCCACCTTAACAGTGCTTGGCCAAGCCACCTGCTTACCTAAATCCAGAAGTACTGGTTATTGTCATGTGGTCCCAGCTGCTAAATGGAGCAGCCTGGGAACAAAGTAAAGAAGGTGGTGGTGGTATTGGGGGGCAGGTTTAAGGTACCCTTTTGCTTTGCCCTGCAAGGCAAAGAAAATAGTCCCTTTCAGCCTTCCCTGCAGCCCACTGCTGCGTTTTGTGTTTGATGCAATTTAAAGGATAAAAGCTCCAAATTCTAAAATACTGCATTCCCAGAACTCTTTGGCAGTGAGCTATAACTTTCAATTAATGCACGCCAGTTGATGTTGACTGCTGATTTTACAAGATGTGGGTACAGTATGATTGATAACAAGTGCATGTGATTGTGTCAATTGCTCTTTACTGCTTACAGAGATTCCCCAACATGTTTGTTTAATTTAGGACAGATTAAAGAAAGGTTAAGAAGGGTTTTGTTTTTTTATTTCGATCTGTATGGCCACAGGATAGATATCCCCTCACCTTCTGCCCACAGCGATACCATGTCACACTCACAGTGTCAACACGACAGGAAGGAAGGTGGAGCCATGACACCCTGGGCTCAAAGGAAGTGGGTTGAATGATGCTGAGCGTCATTCAACTCAGCAAACCAGTGTTAATTTCGTCAGCTAAAAATTTTCATGATAGTTTTCGTCAGCTCAATGTTTTCATTGAGGAAAAAACTTAATAAAAGCTAAGTTAATCGGACTAAAACTATGATGAATATACATAGCAATTTTCTTCCCGGCGATTTAGTTGTCAAAACTAGACTAAAACAATTCAGATGACTAAAATACGACTAAAACTAAAATGCCATTTTAGTTTTAGTCATATTTTAGTCATCTGAATTGTTTTAGTTTAAGGGCCGGTTCACACCATCTCTAGTGTGTTCCAGCAAGGTTAGTGGACGGAACGCACTGGATCGCAAAGTGGATCCCTGTGTTTTTTGGGGGCGTGGCAGTGCTATCCAAGTCAATGATGTTTAAAAATGTTAGCATCCTGCAGAATCAGCTTGTCCCCTGAGCACTGGTCCTGATGTGTGGTCACACTTTCCTTTGCTTGATGAAGATACCATATTCGGTTCTGAAACATTGCATCTATATGTGATACCATGCTTATCTGACCTTATCTGGGAAGATAAAGTGGATCCTGGTGTGCTGGCGGCTTATCCTTCTACATGTTGATCTGCACGGTGCCATCCACTGCTACTTCAGCACCCGTTAAAGTATTGTGAACCGGATTCCAGTAAGGAGTGCGATGGGACAATTTCTGATCGACAAACACACAGGCACAGTAAGGCAAGGCACTCCCCTGCTCCCTATTTCCCACTTTCCCCTTCTCCAAGCTAGTTGATGGACAGCTGCTGGAGACTGCTCTGTCCCTTGTGATCTTGTACTGGACAGGAAGTTCCTGGAAGCAGAGCAAAGAAAGTTGGAGCGGTTCGGAAACATGATGACTGTAATTTCTTGGGCAAAAATCTAAAGAAATACTTTGCTGGGCCATGTGTATTTGTTTGATCTGGATTCATTTTTGAAAAATAAAGAGTTTAATATTACTTTACAATGAATCTCTTCCTTGCAATAGAAGAATGTTTATACACACCTGTCTCACCGCCAGTTCCTAGAAACAGGACATAGGGGCCAGTGAATCGAACCACAGCGTGTGTGTAAGGGGTATGTGAAGATTTTTTGGACAGATGTAGCTCTCCAACAGAGGAGTCCAGGTACAGGCGAGTATAAACTTTCTTCTATTGCCGTCACTTTTTAAAAGTGACAAAGGTGCTAAAAGCTAAACTCCAGGCAGATATAAAAAAACACAAATGTAGCTGCATTCATTAATTCATAATTGAGTCTGTTTTTATTTATTACAAGCAGTGTAGGTACCTGAATTTGACTTGGTATCGGCAGTCCCTGTAAAGCACAGCTTAAAGCTGCTTTGATTGGTACAACACGCAACTGAAATTGTACTTACACGAAAGCCAATGATCGCAAGCATAAAAGAAACGATAAAATATAAAATCCCCAGCAGGGGAAGTCTGAGGGGATCTCCAAATCAGCGTCCTCTGCTCCCGTGAGTTTAAAATGGTCTACGCGTTTCAGGGGCACGCCCCCTTCATCAGTGTAAGTACAATTTCAGTTGCGTGTTGTACCAATCAAATAAACTTTTACACTATGGAGGCGCTCTGTTTTCCTTTTGTTTCCCAGATCGATGGTCTTTTTTGACCGGTGGGAGCTGCCTCTATGGTGTACTAATGAACTTCACAGCCGGATTTCTCTGCAAACCGGGGGCGCCGGTATTGTCGTTTTCACAGCTTAAAGCTGTTCATACACCTATAGATTATCTGCAGATTTTCTATGGTCAGATGGAAAAAGTGCAACAGATTCCTCCGCTAAGCTAAACTGCGTAGATGGAGGAAGCTCCCACTGGACCAAGCTTCAGTATCTTGCTAGTTGGCCCCGCTGGCTCTCAAAATACCTGAACAATCTGATTGGGTTCAGGCATTATTCAGGTATTTTGAGAGCCAGCGGGGCCGACTAGCAAGATAATGCTAGTCGGCCCCGTCCACACAGTTTAGCGTAGATGGAGGAATCTGTTGCACGTTTTACATCTGACCAGAGAAAATCTGAAGATAATCTATAGGTGTACGGCCAGCTTAAGACTGGGAGAGGGACATCAAGCACAAGGAGCCAATCAGCTGTCCTGCAGTGCTCAAGTGCTAACAAGAGATATGCTGAAAGAACAAGGAGTAGAGTCACAGGGAGATGAGTCTGCTGCTTCTCCCTTAACTGTCCAGTAACAGGGTAGGGGAGGTACAAGGCTTGTAAGTGTCACTTAACTGCAACAGAGAAAATCGTGTCTTCCTCCCTGCCAGACAGGGTTGTGCTGTGCGGCAGAGTCATTTAAATCTTTATTTGCCTTAAGGTCCCCACACACCTTGCAATAATCGTATGATAATCGCGGGAAATCCCGCGATCGTACGATTATCGTAAGGTGTGTGGAAGACGTGCGACCTCTACAACTGTAAGGTCGCACGACTTTTAACTTACGAACATGTTCGAAAAACCGCCGAGCATCGTACAATGTTCGGCGGGTGTGTAGCATGTTCGTACTATAAAAGCCGGACGGGCCGGTGTGCGCAAGCGCACACTGCCCGTTCGGTAAGCCCCCCCCTCAGGGGGGGGAGGGGGGGGGCGGCTTGCGATCATCGCAAGTACGATCTGCCTGTCCAAGATAGGCAGATCGTACGTTTTTTTAAGTACCTTACAACCAAAAGTCTTGCGATGTTTGTAAGGTGTGTGCCCAGCATTACATTCAGCTTTGGCCCCTGAAAGAGGTCTGGTGGTCATGTGTAATTACTGACACATGGTCCCACTGATCAGCATACTATGAAGCAGGCTAGACACGGTTAAACATGCCCATTCTCTTCCCACTCTGCAGCCTTCTCTGCTTAACATTCACAGCAGCCGCACAGAAAGCATCTTCTAATTTTGGAGGGGGGAGGCTGCTCCAAACTGCTCTAATTAATCCGCAACACTTGATTGCATTTTCAATTCCACCTCCTCTCCCAGCCTTCATCTTGCAATTTTCTTTGGTGACTTGAAAAGCGAAGTCCGTAGATGCTGCAGTGACCTACAAAAAGGCTGGCAATCAAGGGGGCTTAAGCAAAAAAAAAATACGTACCCAGGTGAGGGTCGGCACTACTGAACACAAAAGACACTTGGCGCTGCAATTTTAATCCTTTTTAAAGCATCAGCTGTTTGAAAGGATTCGCACAGCTTATTATCAAGTGCTTAAAGCTGAAGTTTAATCTGCTTATATTTAGCTGTCCCCGGTTCCTTCATCCCCCTTCACCCCCTTTTTAACATGCTAATGAAATTTTAATAAAACCTGTTTTAATTATATACCCTGTTTAGACCGAATGGCATCATCACTGGATCTCTGTGCTTTTCTATGCAATTCAGGCAGATCCAGGCTGCTAAAATACCTGAACAGTGACTGCCGCTGACAGTCACTGTTCAGCCGCAAATTTATGGCCCATCCCCGCTGGCAAAAGACTATTAAGTAATTGACTTTTGATGAGCTGGCAGGGCCACCCACTGAAAAAATGCCATCTGAATCCTGTAATTTGGCCAAAATTCCGTAGATTAAAAGGAAAAAACAGGGATGCCAAGTTCTATGCCCAGGTTGCATATGAAGACCTCCTGGAGAGGCAGCGAGCCTTGACAGGAAAAGGCAGATAAGAATTCTTAGCACTTCCTCACTACCACTTGGACACTGTTTGCATGGTTGTAAGGAAAAGATATCTGAATTTTTGAATGTTATATCAGTCATGGCTGGCCATAGGACGAAATGGAAATTAAAAATAAACTACATAAAGGCTTTTAGAGCAATTATGTACCGTATGTTACATAAAAAAATATTTTTCCTTCAAGGCCTTCTTTTCAATTTTTGGCATGCTAAGGAATAGAATTGAATAAACAGCTGTTTTTTTCTATATGCTATTCAAGAAGTTGAAATGAATGACTGCGGGCATCATATACGAGTTTCCCTCTTTACATATAAATATGGAAATAGTTCCCCGCAGCATTCCCGTGAGCGGCTCAGGAAAACATATAAATCTGCTGGTTACTGGTCTGTGAATGCTCACAGACCAGTAATTCATCCGAATGGAAATTACTTTTATGGTTTCAAAACTCAAAATCTGCCAGAGAGAAGAGCTGATCGAGGACAGACATAACCATTAGACTACAGGCATGTTAAAGTGACACTGAACTCAGAAATGAAATCTTAAAAATGCATTCAAGTCCCTTAACTATTAACAAAAATGTATCTTATTTGTGTATCACTCGGCTGTAGATCCTCAAATCATCTCTGAATTCATACTGACACTGTCCTTCCTTCTGGAGGGGGGCTACTTTTCTTCCCCAAGGTCCCATGCATTTTTAAGATTTAAAGTGACAATAAACCCTCAGATTTTTTAACATAAAACAATACTGTAATGTGTGCCTTACTGTAATCCATGGTAGTTTCCCTTCTCTTTGCTGCTCTTCCTTTTAAATCTGTATCTGTTCTCATGCTGGGCAGAACTTCGGTTTTGCAGCAGACTGCCTTGTCTCTGAAATGGCTACATGGTGTCTGTGTGTAGGTTTGCAACCTGAGCCAGCACTACAGGAAGAGGCAGTCAGCTGCAAAGGGAAGTTCTCCCCAAGCATGAGAAGACATGAGGATTTAAAAGGAAGAGCTGCAAAGAGAAGGGAAACTACCATGGATTACAGTAAGGCACACATTACAGTATTGGTTTATGTTAAAAAATCTGAGGGTTTAATGTCACTTTAACTCCCGAGTTTAGTGTCATTTAAAGGTTCAGATAACAATTGCAAATGGATAACTGATGTAAAATGAATCTTTTTTCTCACTATGGCTTCCATCAGTTGAAAAGATTTACACAGTACGGCCATAAGTATGTGGACAGCCCTCCAAATTATTGAGTTCGGGTGTTTACAGTGAACAAAGACATGATAGACAACTGTGCACTTCCAACCTTGTGGAGCTGATCAGTCAGTGTGAAGCTGGCGTTTTGCACAGGAGCACGGTCATGCTGTAGCAAAAAACGCCTTCCCCAAGCTGTTGTCACAAGGCTGGAGGTGTACAATTGTCTAAAATGTCTTAGTACGCTGTAACAATAACAATTCCCTTCACTGAAAACACCTGTACTCAATCGTTTGGATGGTCATCCACATACTTATGACCATCAAGGTAAGCGTGATAGTCAGATTTCTATTTTGTCCATATCGTGCATTTCTCCCAAGTCATGCTTCTTATAAGCTGTTCATGAGACATACAAAAAGCATAAAAACATTATTACACATCTATTTACTAAATAAAATCAAAACTTGCCTTGACTATGGTGACATCTACTCCAGCGAGATGAAGAATCGGGGCTGCATTCTTCTCAAACAGAGTCCTGGCCTTTCTAATGAAGAATATGTATATCAGTCAGTGCCCGAAAAATACAGTGCACAGTCAGAGGTAAGACTGAATAGTAAAGTGTGTCTAAAGTCAAAACATTTGTATTTGTGATAGACTCAAGCAGTGCTGAATCCCCTGTCAGATTTTTATTGCAGTCAGTGGAGGATTCACCCTCTCTAACTATCCTGGTGATCACTGTCACTATGACATGGGATGTAATGGGAAATCCAAACTTTTGCAGCAGTCAACAGAACAGGAGGTGAGAAGAAATGTTTCAATGGGGGCACCTGATCTGGGAACAACTATCTTAGGGCTAGTTCACACCAGCCCCACTTCTTTCCGGCCCGATTCCGTGCCGGAATGCACTGGATCGCATCCTGGCTGGCTCACTTTGTTTTGGGGCGGGAGGGGGCGTGGCGGTGCAATGAAGTCAATGGCACAGCAGCCACGGCATACAGCTGCAGTGCGATCGCACGCACTGGAACCTATGGCACATCAATGCCTGCGTTCCGGTCCAGCGCGGTCAGAAAAAATTGTGCATGCAGCAATTGTTCTGACTGCATCGGACCAGAATGCAGGCACTGATGTGCCATGCGTTCCGATGCGGTTGATTGCACTGCGGCCGAAGGGCGTGTCTGCGGGACTTCAATGCACCGCCACGCCCCCTCTGGGGGCTGATGTAAACTAGCCCTAAAAGAGTTTCACCTTACTTTGGAGAGATTTACCCTAACTCCCTGTTACATCACCCATATCAGGGAGTTAAAGGGTTATTAAACCCTCAGGTGTTTTTGCATATATCTACTGCTAGCTGTTTCTACAGTTTCTAATGGCAGTGCAGTGTACATCTTAACCTATAACTGATTACCAATTGTGTCTCATTCTTTGAAGCAGGGATGGCTACTAATATGCAGATTACCTGGCCTCCTGAACCAACCACCTAGAATAATTTGTGGCTTGTCCCCTCCATGCATTGATGCTAAGCACGCATTACTGGAGGCTCTCAAAGGTGGCATCACTCCTCTTTTGCTATGCAGCACAGCAGAGGGTAGTAAATCTCAAATTTCATGTATTACTTGAAGGGTATGTAAACCCTAACAATTAACTTCTCTCACTCTCTTTCTTTTGGTCTGTTAAATATACCACTGAAAGCATTTTGTTATATCTTTTTGAGAACTGCTTCCGATCTGATAATCTCCTGTGCTATCTGCCTGTGGCACAATGCTATCATTTATCATTGCTCCTCCACTCTCACTCATAGACAGGATGAGAGGGTGTTCCGTAGTCCTGTCCTAGTGTGACAACGCTGCTCCTCCATAGATTCAGTGCAGCGAGTTGTCACCCTAGGACAGAAGAGTGTTACTGGCAGGATCATCAGGTGAAAATAAAGGAAAAGAAACACTGAAAGATATATTTATGGACTGAAAAGCTGCAAAATATTACAATTTTGTTCTAGGGTTTAGAAATGCTTTAACAACTCTTTTGGCAGATCTAAAAAAATATGTGTTTCAGCCTTCCAATTGCTTGCCGAAGCTTTCTTTGTCCATAATCATGGCTCTTAAATCACGGTGCCCCAAAAAGAGTGTTTGAAATAATGACCAAAATGTACATCTTTATGTAAAGAACTGAGAGTGGCGGTCCTGAGAGCGGGAACGCTGACTCATTCTCTGGCTGTGATTATGGATCAATCCATAATCAATGTAGGATATTCTTCAAATCTGCCTGCCAGCAAGGAACGATCAGCAGGACGCAAATCGATTGAACTAATGCTTTAAAGGTGATTGCGTTTTCTAATTACACAGATCGATTACACAGACGATGCTTGACCTGCTTTGTGGGTCTGCCCGCTTATAAACCAGCGAGGAAGTGTTTATTCCAGTCTAGTTGCTGCACTCCCTGTTGGGTAATGCTCTGCATTTACTGACACTGTGCATTCGATGCTGGATATGAGAATAGGAAGACATGCAGGTCACTCTCAAACCACATTCCCTGGTGCTTATAAGGCAGGAGGCTTGTAAATGCTACCACCATAGTTGCCTTTAGGATGCCTGCTTGGGGACCGAACACAACTATTGCACCCACAAACAAAGCTCATCTCTGAAGAAATGGTATCTGAATAATTGTCTGATGGACAAAGCGCAGTGACTTAAAGGAACATAGGGTCTGAGGTATTGGGGGGGGGCTGAATAGCATTGGTGAGAAGAGGATAGGGTCTGAAAGGTACTGAGGGGAACAATATGGGGGCTGAAGAGTCACTGGACGAACCGCGAACCGGCACTAAAGTGTGATTGGGGAGACAGCACTTAAAGGAGAACTATGGGGTTAAGGCTTTTCCCCATAGTTCTCCTTAGGGTAACGGGAGGACACAAACTAGCATCCTACCGTCACCCTAGGCTCAGTATACCGCGAGCTGCAGCTCGCGGTATACTGAGACGCCGCAGCTGAAGCGGATCCCGACAATTGTGCCGGGATCCGCCCAGCTGCGTGACTGACAGCTGGCTCTGCCTATCTAAAGGCAGAGCCAGCTGTACCCGCCCCCTCCCCGTCCGTTCAGCCAGTCAGCGCTGGCAGATTGAAGCGGGGAGGGGGGAATCCAGCCCCTCCCCTGTCACGGCAGAGAGCCGTGACTGGATCGAGAGGTGAGCGAACGCCAGTATGTGTTCGCTCACCTCCCGATTTACTGAGCCGACCTGTGACAGTCCTTTAAGGGTTGCAGAATCACTAGCATATTGTAGATGAGGAAACATGGCCTGGTGTGAAAGCATTAGGAGCCAAAACTGCAGCCAAAAGGGTGCGACTAAAGCTTTGGGGTATCACTTGGGTGGGACAGCATTACTATAAACCAGCAGATGACGCTCAACCACCTTGTGCCTACAGGGAGAATTATCATTCCATTTTTGCACATACACCACATACCCATTCTTACAGAACATTGGTTCCCTTACCCTTTGCAGGCTGCTGGATTTATGAATACTGTTGCTTTTTTCACTGCTGTGTTAGGATGTATCAGCTGGTTTCCAAAAACCTAATGGAGAGGAAGACTGGTAAGGTTAACATAATACACCGCCCCTCCCCCAACATATACATGTGGTATAGTCTTGTAACAACATACTCCACTAGTGAGTTGCTGAGAAAATACGCATCCAGGTTAGTCCAAAATCCCAGCCTGCAATTTCCTTCAGGTCTCTTATACAAAATAAGAGGTGCACCGAAATTCAAATTTCAAAACCGAAACGAAACTGAAATTTAAAAAAAAATGTCAGGCCGAAACCGAAAATGTTTTTTATTTTAACTTTTTACATTTTTTTAAAAATATTTTATTTATATTTATTTTTTATAAACTTTGTAATGTTTTATTTCTTAATTTTTTATTAAATATTTGTATTGTTTACTTTACTTTTAGGGGCTTCGGGGGAAATATTAGGGGTCTAAAACAGACTCCTGATATTTCCCTTTTAAAATAGAAAAAGAGCTTGAGTTCTCAAGCTCTTTTTCTGCAGCCCCTGTTATCAATGAACAGGAAACCTCTATACTGAGTGTTCCTGTTTATTCATAACATGACAACATGACAGTGTGTTTACTATAACCACAATCATGAATGAACAGGAGGTGATGTATATCACTTTCCATTCATTCATAATTGAGGATATAGTCAACATACTCTGTCCTCAATTATTTACAAACACTCAGCGATCACTGACCACTGAGTGTTTGTACCTCGCTCTCCTTCCTGACAGCTGTCACAGGAGGCTGAGCGAGCGGAGCTCATCCTCCTGTGACAGGGCTGTCTGTCTCCGCCCACACTGCTCTCCTCTGATCTGCGACAGGGGGCTGAGCAGTGTGGGAGGAGAGATGCCGGCCGCTCACAGCGCTCTCCTCCTGTAGTCCTCAGTCGTATGCAACAGTTCCTCTCCTCCCCGTTGGGACACAGAGCAGCGCCCAGCGGGGAGGAGAGAAATCACGGATGCGCCACTGTATCGGCCAGAAAATGGCACTTTCAGCATTATGCCAAAAGTGCCATTTTCGGCAGATATGCTTCGGCGGCCGATAGATCGGTGCATCCCTATACAAAATGCTATTATTTCCAATGTAAAATGCACTAAAAGCCTCATCGTTACTAAAAGATCCAAGCAGAAAGCTTACCTTACCCACTACGTTTGCGCACACGTTTTAGGCACAGTTTAAATGTACTCGCCCTTTAATTGGAACCGGCCCAGACCTCTCAACCCTAGAACAGTGATGTTTCCACTAAACTGTATGGACATGAGATACACATACTTGTTCCATATCAATGACTCACTATGCAGGGAAGCACGGAAAACAAACCCAGTGTTTCCAACTTTAACACTGATACCTTGACCAATCAGGATAAAGTGACAGTGTCTGCAGACCGCCCCTCCAGGCTATCTACTCATCCAATCATGCTTCTTTGTTGCCTTACTGCTGAATAAAAATGAGGCTGCTCTTGGTGTAAACCCAGCTTGCTGAGTTCACCCAAGCCCGCTCAAAACTGTGACCACCACCTCCCAACTCAATCAGTGGCAGCAGTTGCAGTGGGGGCAACCTCTGCCCCTTTGTGACGAATAGCTGCAGGGCGTGGAATTCACCTCTCCGCAACCAATTGAGTCAGGAGGAGGGGGTGGTAGTCACAGATTTAAACGGTCATGTGTTCACACCAAGCCCATCCTCGTCACTACTGCTGAACTATCCCGTCTAAGCTCTGGTGTGGGCTAGTGTCAGACCTTTGTTTAGCTTGCATAGAACTTTCTTGTGTTCATTCCACAATTCTGGTCGCGAACCGAATCAAACTAAGATCAGACCGCAATCTCGACTAGAGGAAGCAAGGACCATGTGTTAGAGCAGGGAGGATGGCTGCGGTTGTGTTCGTCAAACTGAATTGTTCGCGAACAGAACCGTTCGTTAACCGAGGTGTGTGTGTGTTTTTGCAGTGAAAAAGAAAACTGGTGCTGCCATGAAATGGCCAGTTGGCTGTACTAGCCTCCCAGGCCAAAAGTTCCCAGCCTTCCCCAGGAATAGGTCCCCTTTAACAAACCTTGCAGCACAGGGAAAATGGCAGAAAAGGTGTGTGAAGAGAAGGAAGGTTGTTATAAAGCTAAGCTGTACTGTCAAGGCACTGTAAATATGATAGAAACGGTCTTGAACAGAATTGTCAGAGGCAGCAAAACTTACCTGCGCTTCTTGGCAGGCTGCCCTCCTCAGCAAGTTATCACTGTCACAAGAAAACAAAATAGAAAGGGACAGAGGCAGAAAATTAGCGTTACATACAGATTTACGGATTTCATTAAGAACCTGACCGCAGTTCAATGAGATTCAAAAAACAAAAACTTGTGGATGCGGTTTGCCAGTCTATGGGACCAATAAAGATGCCTGCTGACGGAATACAGCGACTCAGAGAAACGGCAGCAAAAGTATAATGCTACTTTTAACAACCAATCAGATTGCTGCCTTTATGTGAATGTTTCACTGCCAGCCATAGATCACTTGTGACAATGCAGCTCCCAGCAATATTTCAATGGTTTCCATCGGGAACAAGGCGTATTTCAGAAGGCTGTTCAGTCGTAACAGAACAGGACAGCTAATAAATATTTACCAAGCGCATTATTGCGCTGAATGGCTTTATGGTGTCATAGCTGTCAAAAATTGTGGAATAATGAGTTACCATTTATATCCAGCCAAAGTTAATTTTTTAATGTTCTGGATGTAGGAAGTAGAACCCCTGCCAGGTTTCTTCTGCTATCCAGGGTTCTTTAAAGTGTATTTCCACTTTTGCAGTCAAATTTAGGTAAACCCCTCCATATGTTCGTTATGTGTTCCCATTCACACAGCATACTGAAAAATAACTTTTGCAAAAAATGTCTTACCTTTTAGATTAGGGCTGCAAATCATGATTTTTTTCATATTCGATTAGTTGGCCGATTATTTTTTTTGATTAATCGGATACAAAAATTAAATGAATACCATTCTTAATTTAAAATATAATACACAAATGCAGTGTTACAAACATAAAGTTTACTTCAGAATAAAACTGATGAGGACAAAGCAAAAGGAGCACCTCCATAGTGTAAAATTGATTTATTAAGGATAAAACACAGCTGAAAAGGTACTTACAAACCAGCTTGTATAAACGAGCAGAAAGCGATATAATCTTAGGCGACCATCTTTCTTCTGCTATCCAGGGTTCTTTAAAGTGTATTTCCACTTTTGCAGTCAAATTTAGGTAAACCCCTCCATATGTTCGTTATGTGTTCCCATTCACACAGCATACTGAAAAATAACTTTTGCAAAAAATGTCTTACCTTTTAGATTAGGGCTGCAAATCATGATTTTTTTCATATTCGATTAGTTGGCCGATTATTTTTTTTGATTAATCGGATACAAAAATTAAATGAATACCATTCTTAATTTAAAATATAATACACAAATGCAGTGTTACAAACATAAAGTTTACTTCAGAATAAAACTGATGAGGACAAAGCAAAAGGAGCACCTCCATAGTGTAAAATTGATTTATTAAGGATAAAACACAGCTGAAAAGGTACTTACAAACCAGCTTGTATAAACGAGCAGAAAGCGATATAATCTTAGGCGACCATCAAGATGAATACACAAAAAAAGGGTGAGGGAAAGGAAGTGCTGGTATTAAGCCGAAGCCATCTGCACGCTGACCCTCCAGTTGACGCGTTTCTGAGGACAAACCTCTTTTCATCAGAACCCCTCTGATGAAAAGAGGTTTGTCCTCAGAAACGCTTCGGCTTAGTACTAGCACTTCCTTTCCCTCACCCTTTTTTTGTGTATTCATCTTGATGGTCTCCTAAGATTATATCGCTTTCTGCTTGTTTATACAAGCTGGTTTGTAAGTACCTTTTTAGCTGTGTGTTTTATACTTAATAAATCCATTTTACACTATGGAGGCGCTCCTTTTGCTTTGTCCTCATCAGATTTTCGGTTTTCCTTGACTGTGAGGAGCTGCCCCCCTGTATATACCTTGGAAGACCATTTTCAGGAGCAGTTACTGTGTTTTGGCGCCTTGATTTTCACATATATTTTCAGAATAAAACTGCATGCACAATTTTTTGCAATCGCACTGCACTGGAACGTACAGCATTGCGGTACCCCGTGTTCCAGTGCGGACAGTTACAATGAGGGGGGGAAAGCGCTTTTGATGTGCCATTAAAATAAATTTCGTGTGCACCTTACTGTATAACTGGTAACAAATTGTTGAGTGCGTTTGTCGTTTGTTTTGCTTGACCATTAAAATAAATGACGCAGCTATGCACCTCCAGCAGCAGAATTTGTCAGGTCGAAATGGAAAATGACTTTTCCCACCTTTTGTAATTTTTTTTTTTATAACTGTATTGTAATCACATGGCGCTTGAAAAGTTTCAGCTACGGAATGACAGCTGCCAGTGGCAAGATTCCGCAGACGGCAGCTGAATGTAAATACAGCAGTTAGTGGGCGGGTGCAATAGCCAGCCTGCTATTGGCCATTTCAAATTGCAATAGCCAATAGCAGGCTGGCTATTGCACCCACCCACTGCTTACTGTACCCTCCTTCCAGCATGGAGGAGAGAGCTACAGGATCCAACCAACTAATCGATAATGAGAATAGTTGACAACCATTCTCATAATCAATTAATCGATCAGTTGGTTGCAGCCCTATTCTAGATGTTTTGTTAAATCAGGGAAGATGGCTGATTCCAGGTTTTTCTGAGCCCTTTCACAGTGGGACTGTCTTGGGACTGAAATTTGAGGATTGTGTTTATCTGATAAGCTTCATTACCATACAATAGACAAGTCACCTCTGAATGGACAAGACCCCTCACAGCCCCTCTTAACATTTAAAAGGGGTCGACGCAAGAAGACATTTTAACCCTTAAAACCCTAACCCAAGTAAAAGCGATCCAAACTCTAAGTAGCATTTTTAACCAGTTGACATCCGCGGTGTTAAACCCCCTTCCCATCCAGGCCATTTTTCAGTATTCAGCGCTGCGGTACTTTGACTGACATTTATTCCGTCATGCAGCGCTGTACTGAAATTAATTTTATACCATTTTTTAGGGACAGACAGAGCTTTCTTTTGGTGGTATTTAATCACCACTGGGGTTTTATTTTTTACTATATTAAGGAAAAATTACCGAAATTTAAAAAAAAAAAAAAACTGTTTCCCCTATATTAAATGATAAAACATTTTGGTAAAATATAAAAGATGGGGTCACGTCGGGTAAAAAGACACCAAACATGTCAAACCTTTAAATTGCGTGCGCATGCGAAACCTCAAAAAACTATAATACCCAAAATTGGCCATAGGCGACGCTTTAAAAGCTGTTACCGCTCATCAGTTTAGTGTTATCAGTGATTGATGGCCCTAAAATGATTGCTCTCACTGCGACGTTCGCGGCGATATGTAACGTGTGTAGCGCAATTGTCGTTTTTGCGCGCTGGTGCACCGGACGCGTATTTACGTTTATATCTGCGTAAACGTGGGGGTGGGGGGGAGTTAAACATTTTGTGGGGTTTTTTTTAACTTTTTTTATATGTGATGTGCGCGCCCGCAGAAAAAAAATGCCGTCTGGAGACGGCAACCCACCAATGCTGCAGTGGCGTCCGTTTTTTTACAACGGGCGGATGGCAAGTGGTTAAACATAAGGCACACATTACAGTATTGGTTTATGTTAAAAAATCTGAGGGTTTAATGTCTGCAACAAGCACACCTTGTCACCACAACAGTAAGTTAAGGGAATCCTTTCTAAAGGAGCCCTAAAAAGCAGTAAAAACCCAACAGAGGTTCTGATCCTTCCCCAATCTAAAACTAATCACAACCCAAAATCCATTTCTGAGCGATCTCAACAAGAATAAAAAATGTATAAGGCCAGTCAAGGGTTAAAGAAGTGTGTGTGGAGTTAATCGGCCAGCAGATTGCGTTGTTCTGCTGACAGTAAAAAAAAAAAAAATGTCAGCAATTCTGAATGAAGAGACCGGTGGAGTTTGTGTTTCTGCAGGTACTTCGTGATGAAATTACACAGCTGTCTCCAGCCAGCGGGAAGGAACCGCTACACACTTATTACTGCCTGCAAGCAACTCCGAGCCCCCTCTCCTCTCCTCAATCGATGACGACGGCTGCAAAGAGTGCTGGGGGTTATTTCATCTAGAATAGCTTTACCCTTCGATGCACATACACCGCCTGCTCACCGAAGGAAAGCACAGCCGAATCTGAATATAAGCCTGCAGAGGGAAGCCCGGAAGGAAACTGTCTTCAGATTGTGGGAAACAAATTAAAAAGTAAAAATGATTTTTTATGGAGGAAATGAAGACCCAATTCCAGCTGAGGGGTTGAATGATCTGCAACCTTCTTATTATGTCTCTGCCTCCCTCATGCGATGAAAGTGTTTCCGCCACCTCACCTGTTGAAGGTGACTCTGGCCCTGCTGTCACCACCTGTACAACAGCACTCAGACGGGAAGAAGGCTGGGCAGTACTAGCAGCCACAACAGGCAGTCTGTGTTCTTTTCTCTCAAACACTGGAATTTGGATGGGCACTCCTATGTCATCACGTACAATGCAGGACCACTGGCCACATCTCATCCTGACCATGTGGCTGCTGGTCCTGCACAGATGAGCCTGGGTTTGGTGGAATCCCAGTTTTGCCAAAGCCCGCTCAAAACTCTGACCACCACACCCGCCTCCTGGCCCAATAAGTGGTAGAGGTTGCAGTGGGGGCATTCCCAACCTCTTTGTGACATACAGCTCCAGGGAGTGGAATGCTTCTCTCCTTAACTG